GCTGCTGGCACATGCGGGAGGTGGAGGCGTCACTGAGCCTCCCGCCCCAGGATCCCCCCTGCCAGGGGTCACAGCGAGCAGCTGCTTGTGGGGCGGGACCCCCACATGCGGGTCAAGGGTGTGCGCAGAGCCAGCGTCAGTTGCAGAGGCAAACCCAGCAGGGAGTTGTCGGAGCAGGACCTCCCACCCCCTGCCCTCTCCTGCTGCTGGCAGCTCCTGCTATGGAGGGGTGATCCCCACCACCTGTGCCGGCTTTTCGGCCCCGTGGCGCATCCTGCCTCATTCCTCTCTGTAGACAAAAGCCGTCCCCAGCTCCCAGCCTCGGTACCAAGCGGGGAGTCCCTGACCCCCGCAGAAGAGCTCGTGTCTTCTCCCTGCTCATTCCACCCACGTGTTGTTTGCTGTGGCTCCCTAACCCCAGCTCTGCTCCCTTAACTCTTAACCAGCGTAGCAGAGTGGTTGGGTAGCTCGGCACCCCCCCTCCCGCCCCCACTTGCCCCCGCTGCCCCGCCGGTGCTGCCTTCCTGGGCAGACGGCGCCATCTGACCGTGCTGTCCTCTCTCCCACCCCAGATGCAGGTGGCCCAGCAGGCGCAGCTCCGCCAGGAGACACAGCTCCTCCAGCAGACCTTCCTGACAGAGAAGGACACCCTGTTGCAGAAGGAGAAGTTCATCGAGGAGGAGAAAACGAAGCTGGAGAAGCTCTTTAAAGACGAGGTCGACAAAGCCCAGAACCTGAAGGCGGAGCAGGAGCGGCAGCAGAAGGAGATGGAGCAGGAGAAGCAGCAGCTGAAAGCCATGCTGGACGAAGCCAAGAAGCATCAGCAAGAAGCAGAGGAAAACGTCCGGCACAAGCAGGAGGAGCTGCAGCAGCTGGAGAGACAGCGGCAGCAGCAGGAGAAACTCCTGGAAGAGGAGAACAAGAAGCTCAGGGAGAGGCTCGAGCAGATGCAGGAAGAGTACAAGGCCGCCCTGGCCCAGACACGAGAAATCATGATCCAGACGGACGACCTGCCTGAGGAGGCAACGGTTACGATGATGCAGGTGCCAGATATCAAAGCTGTGCCCAACGGCAGAGACGCGGTGGATGGCTTAGCGCAGAACGGGGAGCCGGAGTTTGCATTTGACGGCATCCGTCAGAAGGTATCTGCAGAGAAGCTGGCTGATGCCGGCATTTTGAGCAAGGACAGCTTAGACAAGTTGGCGAAGGGCGTCGTGAGTGTTGGAGAGCTCTCACAGAGGGAAGACGTCAAGAAGTACCTGCAGGGCAAGAGCAGCATTGCTGGTTTGTTAATCAAACCCACCAATCAAAAGATGAGCATCTATGAAGCCATGAAAAAGAAGCTGCTCAGCCCAGGCACCGCGCTGGTCCTCCTGGAAGCGCAGGCTGCCTCCGGCTTCATAATTGACCCTGTGCGAAACGCGAGGCTCTCGGTGAACGAGGCGGTGAGAGAGGGAGTGATTGGGCCAGAACTGCACAATAAGATGCTGTCTGCTGAACGGGCGGTAACCGGCTACAAGGATCCTTACACGGGCGACAAGATCTCCCTCTTCCAGGCCATGATGAAGGAGCTCATCGTCAGGGAGCACGGCATCCGCCTGCTCGAGGCCCAGATCGCCACCGGCGGCATCATCGATCCTGTCAACAGCCACCGCCTGCCTGTAGAAGCTGCCTACAAGCGGGGCTACTTCGACGAGGAGATGAACCAGGTCCTCTCCGACCCCACTGATGACACCAAGGGCTTCTTCGACCCCAACACACAGGAGAACCTCACCTACCTGCAGCTCATGGAGCGGTGCGTGACTGACCCAGACACGGGGCTGTGCCTCCTGCCGCTCACTGACCAGGCGGCCAAAGCAAGAGAGCTGGTCTACACGGACAAAGAAGCTAAGGATGTCTTTAAGAAGGCCACAGTGACGGCACCGTTTGGCAAGTTCCAAGGGAAGACGGTGACCATCTGGGAAATCATCAACTCTGAATACTTCACTGAGGACCAAAGGCGGGACCTGATCCAGCAGTACAGGACTGGCAAGATCACGGTGGAGAAGATCATTAGGATCATCATCACGGTTGTGGAGGAAAGCGAGAAAAAGAGCCAGATGTGCTTCGAGGGCCTCCGGGCCCCTGTGCCTGCTGCTGAGCTGCTGGAAAGCAAAATCATCAACAAGGACCTCTACAACCAGTTGCACCAGGGCAAGAAGTCTGTGAAGGACGTGGCGGAGATGGAGTCTGTGCGGCAGTACCTGAAGGGCTCGGATGCCATTGCTGGCGTCCTAGTGGAGTCGACCGGCCAGAAGCTCACCTTCTACGACGCCCTGAAGAGAAACCTGCTGAAGCCAGAGATTGCCCTGTCCCTGCTGGAAGCGCAGGCTGCCACCGGCTATATCATCGACCCTGTGAGGAACAAGCTGTTCTCTGTCGACGAGGCGGTGAAGGCCGAGGTGGTGGGGCCGGAGTTTCACGAGAAGCTGCTGTCCGCAGAGAAGGCGGTGACTGGCTACAAGGATCCCTATACGGGCCAGACGGTTTCCCTCTTCCAAGCGCTCAAGAAGGGCCTCATCCCCAGCAATACCGGGGTCCGTCTGCTGGATGTCCAGCTCGCCACTGGAGGCATCATTGATCCTGTGAACAGCCACCGGCTCCCACTCGAGGTCGCCTACAAACGGGGCTACTTGGACCCAGAGATAAATGAGGCTCTGTCCGAGCTCCGAGATGATGTCAAGGCTTTCTATTGTCCCAACACCCAAGAGCACCTCACCTACACCCAGTTGCAGAAGAACTGCCACCGTGACAAGCAGACTGGCTTCTGCCTGCTGCCCCTGTCAGACAAAGCCATCCAGTCTCAGCAGGAGGAGGTCTACACAGACAGCCAGGCGAAGGAGTGCTTTGACAAGGCGACTGTAGAGGTCCCAGTGGGCAGCATGAAGGGCCAGACAATGACCATCTGGGAGCTGATCCACTCTGAGTACTTCACGGAGGAGCACAGGCGAGAGCTCCTCCGACAGTACAAGACTGGCAAGGTGACCATCGAGAAGATCATCAAGATTGTCATCACCATCATCGAGGAGGCAGAGACCAAAAAGCAGGAGAAGCTGACGTTCAGCGGTCTCCGGGCACCTGTACCTGCCAGCGAGCTGGTAGAGTCCTGCATCATCAGCAAAGCCCAGTACGAGCAGCTGAAGGAAGGCAAGAAATCAGTGAAGGACCTCTCCGAGACAGATGCGGTGAGGAGATTCCTGCATGGCAGCGAGTGCATTGCTGGCGTCTACGTGGAGGCGACCAAGGAGAAGCTGAACATCTATGAGGCCATGAAGAGGAACCTGCTGAGGCCCAGCACTGCTGTGGTCCTCCTGGAGGCCCAGGCAGCGACCGGGTTCTTGATCGACCCTGTGAAGAACCGGAAACTGTATGTCAACGAGGCCGTGAAGGCTGGTGTCGTTGGGCCTGAACTGCATGAGAAGCTGCTGTCCGCTGAGAAGGCTGTCACTGGGTACAAGGACCCCTACTCGGGCAATACCATCTCCCTCTTCCAGGCCATGAAGAAAGGACTCATCGTCAAGGAGCACGGCATCCGCCTACTTGAGGCCCAGATTGCAACCGGCGGCATCATCGACCCAGTCAACAGCCACCGCCTCCCCGTGGAGGTGGCCTACAAGCGGGGCTACTTCGATGAGGAAATGAACCGGACCCTCTCTGACCCCACCGATGACACCAAGGGCTTCTTTGACCCCAACACCCACGAGAACCTCACCTACCTGCAGCTGAAGGAGAAGTGCATCGAAGATCCTGAGACGGGCCTGTATCTGCTGCCTCTGCGGGAGCCTGAGAAGCCTACACTGGTGGAGACCACCCAGGTGTACACGGAAGCAGAGACGCGGAAGGTGCTTGAGGAGACACAGGTGGACATCCCCGTGGGCAGCAGGGCGGGCTCCTCCATGTCACTGTGGGAGATCATGCACTCAGACCTGCTGCCTGAGGAGCAGCGGAAGCAGCTCATGGAGGAGTTCCAGTCAGGCCGTGTGTCCAAGGAGCGCATGATCATCATCATCATTGAGATCATCGAGAAGACTGAGATCATCAGGCAGCAGAATCTCACATCCTATGACTACGTCCGGCGCCACATCACAGCCGAGGACCTCTATCAGGCCAAAATCATCTCTCTAGACATCTACAACCTGCTGAAGCAGGGCTCCAAAACCTTCCGGGAGCTCCTGGACGTGGAGACTGTCTGGAAGTACCTCTACGGGTCGGGCTGTGTGGCTGGCATCTACATCCCCTCCTCCAAGCAGAAGCTCAGTATCTACCAGGCACTGAAGAAGGGGCTGATCAACTCCGAGGTGGCCCGCTCCCTCCTGGAGGCCCAGGCTGCCACCGGTTTCATGATTGACCCCACAAAGAATGAGATGCTGACCGTTGATGAAGCGGTCAGGAAAGGCGTGGTGGGGCCTGAAATCCATGACCGGCTCCTGTCTGCAGAGAGGGCCGTGACCGGTTACAGAGACCCGTACAGCGAACAGAAGATTTCCATCTTCCAGGCCATGAAGAAAGACCTCATTCCCAGCGAGGAGGCCCTCAAGCTCCTGGATGCTCAGATAGCCACCGGTGGCATCATCGACCCGCACCTGGGCTTCCATCTGCCCCTGGAGGTGGCCTACCAGCGGGGCTTCATCAACAAGGACACGTATGACATGCTGTCCGAGCCCAGTGAGGTGCGAAGCTACGTGGACCCGTCCACGGAGGAGAAGCTCAGCTACACGCAGCTCCTGAAGCGGTGCCGGAAGGACGAGAACAGCAGGCTCCTCCTGCTCCCACTCTGCGACACGAGGAAGCTCACCTTCCGGGGGCTGCGGAAGCAGATCACTGTGGAGGAGCTGGTCCGTTCGCAGGTGATGGATGAAGCCACCGCCCAGCGCCTCCAGGAGGGCCTCACCTCCATCGAGGAGGTCTCTAAGAACCTGAAGAAGTTCCTGGAGGGCACCAGCTGCATTGCTGGCGTATTTGTGGACTCCACGAAGGAGCGGCTGTCTGTGTACCAGGCCATGAAGAAGGGGATCATCAGGCCAGGCACCGCCTTTGAGCTCCTGGAGGCGCAGGCAGCCACGGGTTACGTGATTGACCCCATCAAGGGCCTCAAGCTGACAGTGGAGGAAGCTGTGCGGATGGGCATTGTGGGCCCCGAGTTCAAGGACAAGCTGCTCTCTGCTGAGAGGGCAGTCACTGGCTACCGGGATCCCTACTCCGGAAAGCTCATCTCCCTCTTCCAGGCCATGAAGAAGGGTCTGATCCTGAAGGACCACGGGATCCGCTTGCTCGAGGCCCAGATTGCAACGGGAGGCATAATCGATCCTGAGGAGAGCCACCGCCTCCCTGTGGAGATTGCCTACAAGAGGGGCCTCTTCGACGAGGAGATGAATGAGATCCTGCTGGATCCCAGCGATGACACCAAGGGCTTCTTCGACCCCAACACTGAGGAGAACCTCACCTACCTGCAGCTCATGGAGCGGTGTATCACTGACCCAGAGACTGGCCTCTGCCTCCTGCCCCTGAAGGAGAAGAAGCGGGAGAGGAAGACCTCCTCCAAGTCCTCTGTCCGCAAGCGGAGGGTGGTGATCGTCGACCCAGAGACGGGCAAGGAGATGTCCGTGTACGAAGCCTATCGCAAGGGCCTCATTGACCACCAGACCTACCTGGAGCTGTCGGAGCAGGAGTGTGAGTGGGAGGAGATCACCACCTCCTCCTCTGACGGTGTGGTGAAGTCAATGATCATCGACAGGCGCTCGGGGCGCCAGTACGACATCGACGATGCCATCAGCAAGGGCTTGATCGACCAGTCAGCCCTGGACCAGTACCGCTCGGGCACCCTCTCCATCACCGAGTTTGCAGACATGCTCTCTGGCAACATGAGCGGCTTCCGGTCGCGGTCGTCCTCCGTGGGATCATCCTCCTCCTACTCCGTCAGCCCAGCCCCCACGCGAATGCAGATATCCATGTGGAGCGACCCGACCGAGGAGACCGGGCCAGGACACGGACATCTGGAGAAGGTGTCCATCACGGAGGCGATGCGCCGCAACCTCGTGGATAACATCACAGGGCAGAGGCTGCTGGAAGCGCAGGCCTGCACCGGGGGCATCATCGACCCCAACACCGGGGATAAGTGCTCCGTCGCCGACGCAGTGAACAAGGGCCTGGTCGACAAAATCATGGTGGACCGCATCAACCTGGCGCAGAAGGCCTTCTATGGCTTCGAGGACCCACGGACCAAGACGAAGATGTCGGCGGCCCAGGCCCTGAAGAAGGGCTGGCTGTACTACGAGGCCGGGCAGCGCTTCCTGGAGGTGCAGTACCTGACAGGGGGCCTGATTGAGCCCGACGTTGAGGGCCGCGTCTCCTTGGACGAGGCGCTGCAGAAGGGCACCATCGACACACGCACGGCCCAGAAGCTGCGGGACGTGAACACCTACTCCAAGTATCTCACCTGCCCCAAAACCAAGCTCAAGATCTCCTACAAGGACGCGATGGACCGAAGCATGATCGAGGACGGGACCGGCCTGCGGCTGCTGGAGGCCTCCTCCCAGTCCAGCAAGGGCTACTACAGCCCCTACAACGTCAGCAGCGCTGGCTCCACCTCCGGCTCGCGGTCGGGCTCCCGGACCGGGTCCCGCTCAGGCTCCAGGCGAGGTAGCTTCGACGCCACTGGCTCCGGCTTCTCCATGACCTTCTCTTCCTCCTCCTACTCTTCCTCGAGCTTTGGGCGCAGATACGCCGTGGGTCCCCAGAGCACCGTGGAGGCGGCTGCCCTTGCCCTCGCCTTGTCCCTCCCGAGCAGGAGCTGCAGGCAGGAGGCAAGCGGGGAGCGCCCCGGGCTGTGTGGGCCCCCACTCCGCGTGGCCTGAAACCTGCCGGCCCCTTCCGAGGAACCCGCCGCCTCACCTGCTCCGCATGTGGCAACGCTGCTGGCTAATCACTAGTATTTTTTTTTAATTTTTAAACTCCATTCTTCTTCCAAAGCAGTGCCTAAAGTTTAACCAAAAAGACTAGACTAATATATTAATATATACGATTGTTCTGACAGTATTTGTATATTAAGAGATGAGAGAGAACACACTACCCTCCCATATCTGCCGCCCCGGGAGCCTGCTGCCGTTCCTGCCCTCTGCAGAG